AAAAAAGAAAGAAAGAGCGAGAGAGAGAGAGAGAGAGAGAGAGAGAGCGGGGGATGGAAGAATGGAAAGAAGGAAGGAAGGAAGGAAAAAAGAAAGAAAGAAAGAAAGAAAGAGAAAGAAGGATGGAAAGAAGGAAGGAAGGAGAATAGAAGGATAGCAAGAAAGAAGGAAAAAGAAAAAAAAGAAAAAGAAGGAAGGAAGCAGGAAAGAAAGAAAGAAAGAAAAGAAAAAGAAAGGAGGGAAGGAAGGAAGGAAGGAAAAAAGAAATAAATAAAGGAAAGGAAGAAGGATGGAAGGAAAGGAAGAGAAAGAAAGAAGGAAAGAAAGAAAGAAAAAGAGAAGGAGGAAAGAGGGAAGGAAGAAAAAAGAAAGAAAGAAAGATGGAAAGAAAGAAGGAAGGAAGTAAAAAAGAAAGGAAGAGGAAGATGGAAGGATGGAAAGAAGGAAGGAAGGAAGGAAGGAAGGAAGGAAGGAAGGAAGGAAGGAAAAAGAATCATAGAATCATAGAATCAAAGAGTTGGAAGAGACCTCATGGGCCATCCAGTCCAACCCCCTGCCAAGAAGCAGGAATATTGCATTCAAATAATCCCTGACAAATGGCCATCCAGCCTCTGCTTAAAAGCTTCCAAAGAAGGAGCCTCCACCACACTCCGGGGCAGAGAGTTCCACTGCTGAACGGCTCTCACAGTCAGGAAGTTCTTCCTCATGTTCAGATGGAATCTCCTCTCTTGTAGTTTGAAGCCATTGTTCCGCATCCTAGTCTCCAAGGAAGCAGAAAACAAGCTTGCTCCCTCCTCCCTGTGGCTTCCTCTCACATATTTATACATGGCTGTCATATCTCCTCTCAGCCTTCTCTTCTTCAGGCTAAACATGCCCAGTTCCTTAAGCCGCTCCTCATAGGGCTTGTTCTCCAGACCCTTGATCATTTTAGTCGCCCTCCTCTGGACACATTCCAGCTTGTCAATATCTCTCTTGAATTGTGGTGCCCAGAATTGGACACAATATTCCAGGTGTGGTCTAACCAAAGCGGAATAGAGCATGGGGAGCATGACTTCCCTAGATCTAGACACTATGCTATTGATGCAGGCCAAAATCCCATTGGCTTTTTTTGCCACATCACATTGTTGGCTCATGTTTAACTTGTTGTCCACGAGGACTCCAAGATCTTTTTCACACGTACTGCTCTCAAGCCAGGCATCCCCCATTCTGTATCTTTGCATTTCGTTTTTCGTGCCAAAGTGGAGTATCTTGCATTTGTCACTGTTGAACTTCATTTTGTTAGTTTTGGCCCATCTCTCTAATCTGTCAAGATCGTTTTGAATTCTGCTCCTGTCCTCTGGACTATTGGCTATCCCTCCCAATTAGAAAGAATAGAAAGAAAGAAGGAAGGAGGGAAGCAGGAAAAAAGAAAGAAAGAAAGAAAGAGAACAGAGGGAAGGAAAAAAGAAAAAATAAAGGAAAGTAAGAAAGAGAAGGAAGAAAGGAAAGAGACAAAGAAGGAAAAAGAAAGAGAAGGAAAGGTGGAAGAAGAAAAGAAAGAAAGGAGAAAGATGGAAGGATGGAAAGAAGGAAGGAAGGAAGTATAGAAAGAAAGAAGGAAAACGGCAGGAAAGCAAGAAAGCAAGAAAGCAAGAAAGCAAGAAAGCAAGAAAGCAAGAAAGCAAGAAAGCAAGAAAGAAAGAAAGAAAGAAAGAAAGAAAGAAAGAAAGAAAGAAGAAAAAGAAAGGAGGGAAAGAAGGAAAGAAAGAAAAAGAAAGAGAAGGAAAGAAAGAAAGAAGGAAGAAAGAAAGAAAGGAAAGTGAGAAGAGGGCTGGAAGGTGCGCACTTTGGAGAGTGGTTTCCAAGAAAGAAGAAGGAAGGAAGGAAGGAAGGAAGGAAGGAAGGAAGGAAGGAAGGAAGGAAGGAAGGGAAGGAAGGAAGGAAGGAAGGAAGGAAGGAGGAAGGGGAAAAAAGACAGACTTAGGAATGTTTTGTTTTGATGTCCCATGTCTCATCCCCCACTTTCCGCCAGACAACAAACTCCCTCCCACCAAAATAATCTGTGTCATCACCATCCAGGCCTTTCAGGGTTTCCCATATAATCATGTGCACAGCGAAACCACTTTTGTCCATACCGGTTTGAAACTGCATCAAATGGCCAGTGTAGATGTGGCTGAGGCTTCCGGGACAGTTGAAGGGCCACAAACACAAAATTTTAGAATTGGAAGGGACCCTAAGAGGCCATCCAGCCCAACCCCTTTCCTGCCATGCAGGAAGACACAATCCAACCACTCCCGACAGATGGCCACCCAGCCTCCACTTAATGCACATACCCTCCTGCAAAAAAAAAAAAAAAAAAGCCAAGGGAAGTCATGGTACCCCTCTATCATACCTCATCTAAAATACTGTATCCAATTCTGGGCCCTACAATTTAAGAGAGATGTTGACACTAAGCTGGAAGGTGACCAGAGGAGGGCCACTAAATGGGTCAAATGTCTGGAGACTATGAATAATCCCTCTTAGGTGCAGCTTAAAAAGCTGGGTCTGCTTAGCCTCCAGTAGAGAAGGAGAAATGAGAGCCATGTTTAAATATTTGAAAG